AAATGTTGTGCAGAATTGGTAGTGAGATGAATCCAATTTTACTGATTCCAAAGCACAATACTGCCCTGACAATGGGCTAGTAAAAAAAGAGTAAAGGAAAAATAACATTGGGATATTTAATGATTGATGTCTAGTGCTGAAGAGGAAAAGAAGCCAGGGAACCAGTGCCAAAGCTATGTATAATTATGGAATCATCGGGAATCCCCACTGTCGGTTAGTGGCCACATGTGAGTGAGGCTAACAAGTGTCCAATGGCATAATGGACATTTATTGTATACTATCCATAATTTCATATTTTTATGTTCAGTTTTCAGAACACCTCTATGATATTATTACCTAATCCTCATTTCACAGATGATTACATTGGAGTTCATAGAAGTTAACTATTTTCCCAGATTATATAGTTTATTAAGGGCAGGGCTAGATTAAAAACTGTATCTATTTGAATCAAAAGTTGATTTACTTTATACTAACAACCAGATGCCTTGGGTAAAAAAAAAAGAGAGAGAGAGAGAAGGAATGTGAATGAAGAGTGCTGACTGAGAAGAGGTTAGGGGTCAGAAATGTGGACAATCCACTTGTAACCCATGGAGACTAGAGCAGGACCATAAGTACCCACAACTTGAAAACACTGAGAGAATTTTAAAGAAACCTGTTACCTCTAGAGAAAGATTTCTCTTAACCAAGTTGATAGATTGTTCTACAAAAATTATGCAAGTATTAGGAAGGATTTGTGATCCTTAAGTTCTACATTACATTATACCAGTCAAAAACCTGTTATTCGAAACCTAAACTAAAATTGTTAAATAATTATGTCTTTAATTATACAGATATTTCTGACTCTTTGTTTTGGAGATCACAGTTCTTAACTTCTCACAGTTACAACATCTTTGGATGTAGAAGCACCTCTCCCTTTTCTAAATATATATCATACATTCATATGTTACAAAAATATAGATGAACTCTAGATAGGACAGAGGGGTGGGAGAAAAAGGGAAGGGCAGGGGGTTAGCAATGATGGTGGAAAGTGATAGACATCATTTATCCAAAGTACATGTATAAAGACATGAATTGGTATGGACATACTTTATACAAACAGAAATATGAAAAATTGTGCTCTATATGTGTGATAAGAATTGTAACACATTCCACTGTCGTGTATTTAAAAAATAAAATCAACTCAATATTTTTTAAAAAGAAGTTTGACAGGACAAATATAAAGGTCTTTCGAAACACTAAATATTAACATTTAAAATAAATAAATAAATAAATAAATAATGCAGAAAACATAGTCTGCATGATTTCAGTTTTTTTAAAAAGTAATGGAAATGCTTTTATATTGATTGTATTAGTTACATACATTTCAAAACTGGTCAAATTGCATACTTCAAATATGTGCATTTTTATTGTACTTCAACTTTATCTCAATAAAGCTATGGGGAAAAATATTTTATAGATATATAGTTTATATTGGTGTATAGTCATGAAAACAAAAGACCATCCTGGCCCTAAGGTGGACATCAGACAGGCTAAGGATATAATCTCATCAGTGTCTCCTTGGTGAAAGCTGATATCTGAAAGTAGTACAGGAGGAAGGACCCATGGGCTTTCCTTTCTTTTACCTTACTAATTATACCCTAAAACATTGACAAATCATTATATTCTTGCATCAAAGCTCCAATATAGGTAGTAATTGACTTTATTTTTAGAACCATCATTACCTACAAACAAATATAATTATTAATTTGCTTATTTTAATCCCACTTCCATGTCCTCCATAATATGAGGAAAATTGATTTCAGATTAAGGTAATATTTTTACTTATCATAGAAAAGGATAATGTTACAATTTATACTAAGTTGTACATTACTTTAAACTCATTACGTAAGTAGGAAACAGTTGTTTGAGGTGGTTGTTTTTTAAAAAAACATCTCCAGGCTTTCGGTGTAATCTTTGAATTCCAAGTTTGAGCCAATAATCAACATATTTTTATTGAAATTCTGCAGAAAAGTATTAGTAAATATTTATTGTTCTCTCTTTCTATCTCTGTTTCTCTGTCTCTCTTTCTCTTTCTCTCCTTCCCTCCCTCCTTCCTTCCCTCCCTCCCTCCCTCCCTTTTTCCCTCCCTTCCTTCGTCTTTCCCTCCCTCCCTCCCTCTCTCAAATGTGTTATATTTAAATTGGAAGTTGAAATTTGGGGCAACTCATATCGTGAAATGATGAAAATTACATTGTAATCAACATATTTGAGTTTGTGTTTCCTAATTGCACTATTATGTTTACATGCAAATATGGATGCCCTTCTAAGAGGAAGGCATTACAAGTAAATTTCACCTTGACAAATGAATTGTTGCTTCAATTATTCTCTAGCCTCTTATGAATATTTATACAAAGTATAGAATTGTTTGAAAAGTGCACTGGAGTATCTTGGGAAATATTGTTTTTAAAAATAACGTTTAACGTTGTCTGTCTTCTTAGAAGTTTTATAAAGCCAAATTGCCTATACATGTTTTTTGGCATGTAATATTTGAAAAAAATAATCTCATTAGAAATGATAAATGAATTTTCCTATAATTTACACTAAGAGCCATTAGTCTGGTGTAGTAGCATGAATGCAAGGATACAAAATTAAACAACAACCTCATCAATGGGTGGAAGGAGGCACAGGACTCCCCAAATAAGGTTTTTTTCTTCTCATAGAAAGAATAAATATCCACTCACCAACTTTGATTTAGAATAATAGAATTCTAGTTTGTTATAGGACTGAAAACAACAAAAAAAAAAGGTAAGTACAATATGATAATATCTTAATACTTCCTGCTCTATCCCTCTGTTTCATTAGTTACTCTCTTTGGAGAGGCCTCACTGCTTTATGGTTTCCAATTTTGGAGTTACCAAAAATCTCAAACAAAAACACTTACGTTGTTTTATTTTTGTTTCAGATCAAAAACCTTGATCCAGCTGTGAGACAGGAAAGATGGAAAAGTTGCACCATCAGATGCATGTTTTCTCAACCCTCCTGCAGCCAATCTATAAACTCCCATTTGAATTTTGGTGTTGCTATCATTTTTCAGATCATCAGTCTTCATATTTCTCCAGTAATGGGTTGGGCTTAGTGTGAGGCCTGGCAGTGCCAGAGAACTTTTCCCAGTGTCTCTGCATCAATCTCAGAGGCTGGTGCCTCTGAGGCTTGTCTTTTCAAGTGTTTGCCCCCTCCCTCAGCGAGTAGACTTTTATTTATTGGTGCTGGGCTTATGCTAGGGACTGGGATAGTTCTTGATTCTCCTGATACAGCCTTCTTACGCACCTGGGACATGGGAACAGGGCCTTCTCAGCATTCCTACCTTTATTTGCACTACAACTAAATCTCCCTTTGTTTCTGGCTCATCTGGTCTCCTGCCCTGACCCAATATTTTGTGTGAGAATCCTGTGTAAGCCCATGGAGAAAAGTTTGCAAATGACTTTGAACTACCTTTATAAGTGAAACTCCCAGGTATTCTAAATTGCTCTGCAACCCCCATACTTAGTCTTTAAGAATTTATTGAAATGTTAGCTGATTTTTTTCTTACCTGCTTCCTTTGAAGCCACCTCTTTCTCTCATACTCTACTAAAGATGCAACAGTTCCCAGGTCCTGTCACTGCTTAATGGGGTCCTGTCACTTAGTTCTCTGAGTCAACAAAAGGAGCAGCAGCATCTTCAAAGGGCTCTGATTAAAACACATTTTCCCAGATAGACAAGAGTACTATGGTAGGGACTTGCCTTTCCGATGTCTCTCCTTTGCATGTCTGGAGAGTTTTTTTTAAATCAATTCATTCATTTAATAAATATGTATTGAATATTTGCCACATTTTATATACTGCTCTGGAATGTTACAATCAGAACAGATTCGGACTCTTACCTACAGTGTGGAATTTTCATTCTATTAATAGGAAACATATTAAACAATATATATGATAAGTAATGAATAACATAGTATGAGAAAAGTTGTAAGTACTTCAGAAAACAAAAACAAGGACAGTCAGAAGTCATGGAGGTAGGGTTGGGGTTGTGGCTCAGTGGTAGAGCGCTTGCCTAGCACGTGTGAGGCCCTGGGTTCAATCCTCAGCACCACTTAAAAATAAATAAAATAAAGGTATTGTGTCCAACTACAAGTAAAAAATAAATATTTTTTAAAAACATTTTAAAAAAAGAAGTCATGAAGGTAGCAATTTTAAATTGTAATTAGGTTAACTAATGTAGACTTCAGTGCAAATGTGACAAGCAACGACTTGGACCTGGAGGAGGCAAGGGAAAGAATGTTACGGGCAAAGGGATCAGCCAGAAGCCATACCTCAAGTGGAAATGTGTTCTGTGTATTTACCAGAAGGAGAAGAGTAATATAAGTGAATATAGAGAAGTAAGGGACACAGTGTTAGACTCAGAAAAGTACGAGTAGCAATGTCTTATTTATACATTTTGTTTCCAATCCCCATGCTAAATCTCCCATCTAGGGTGAATGATTCCTTTCATTTTGCATCTGCCTTTTTTACAAAAGAAGAAACTTTAAATGTTTATGCTGGGAGTCACCAGACAGAAATTGATTTGAGAAAACATAGTTAAGACCCAGATTTGTAATACAGCAGTTAATAGAATCATTGTTACCAAATACTTGATAGGAGGCCACAATCTAAAAGCCTTTGAATAAAGGTAGGTCAGTAAATTTGGGTGCCAACTATGTAGAAATACATTAAGATCATAACAAATACAGAAGTACAGATGATTAATAAGCAAAAGGACAAGAAAATTCGGTCTTATGAGTCATAAGATATAATTTTCTGTTATCAACATAGTTTATTTGTATATTATGTAATTTGATAGACCACAAATTTAACATACTGTTATCCTCTGTTTTCAAAGACAGGAAACAAATTCCCCTATAATGTAATTGAAAATATAAATAAAATTAGGGAATTCTCTAGTAGACCACCTTTGGACTTCAAATGCACAATTGACTTTCCTAAGTCTTGAGCTTCCCAATCCACACTAGGTTTTTAAGGTGAGAGGATGGGAGTATAGGTTAAAAGTAGAACACTTTATTAGCAAGCTTGAGACCCTGATTTCAATCTCCAGCACTGTGAAAAAATGTTTAAATGTATATTTTTATTACAGATATTTATATATTTTTATTATAATATATTACATAGCTATTAACAGGTGACAACTTTACTGGAAAACAATTGGCAACACATTATCAGTTCACTTAACTGGACTCTACCTAGTTTTTAGATTTATTAGCACTCAGAAAGCTCTCTACAAAGTACACTGGCAGGGTCTCTTCACATTCTGAATCCCTGATGCTTCTTTAGGATGCTTCTCTCAAATTCACCTAAGCACTACTGTTTTGTCAAAGGAATCTATGTTTTCCCTAAACTTAACTCATTTTAGTTTTGTTCATTATTGTTATTAATAAATTAAAAATTAGTAATACATCACAATTTATGTTATAATTATACAATACATAACAAATAACAATTGTATAAGATGATCAGATGAAAAGTAATTAATAACACCTATATATGAAGATTTTTTGTTTGTTTAACATTAATTATATATGAACATTTTTTCATATATTTTTAACCATTCTTATTTCTTCTTCTGTGAAGTGCATGTTCAGTTCCTGTGTCCAATTGTTGATTAGGTTATTTGGGGTGTTTTTTTGTTTGTTTGTTTGTTTGTTTAGTTTTTATATAACCTGGAGATTAATGGTCTATCTGAGGTGCAGGTATTAAAAGTAACTGATAACTAGTTATATAATATGATCAGATTTATTTTCTCAATGAAAACTAAGTTCTTTGAGAAGAATCAATAAATAAAATTTAAAAAAAATAAAGGTGGAAGAAGAAAAAATGCTATCAGATATGGGTGAGTCAAATTCAAAAAAAAATTTTTTAAATCTTGAAGAAAACTGCTTTTCAAGTGCTCTAAGTTCTCTCATTTTAAACAAATTGAAGCTAAAATCAGGAGTGACTCATTCTCTATATGAAAGAAAATGGCTTAGAACTCCAATCAGTACAATTTACTAATAAAAAGAAAAATACACCAAGGAGTGGAATAATTGGATCAAATGATAATTCCATTAAGTTTTCTAAGGAATCTCTGTACTACTTTCCAGAGTGGTTGCACCAATTTGCAGTCCCTCCAGCAATATATGAAAAGTGACTTTCTCCCCACATACTCACAAACATTTATTGTTACTTGTATTTTTTTATAATTACCATTCTGACTGGAGTGAAATGGAATCTCAGTGTAATTTTAATTTGCGTTTTTCTAATTTCGAGAGAAGTTGAACATTTTTTTTATATATTTTTAACCATTCTTATTTCTTCATCTGTGAAGTGCATATTTAGTTCCTTGGCTCATTTGTTGATTGGTTGGCTTGTCTGGGGGTTTTTGTTTGTTTGTTTGAGTTTTTGTATAACCTGGAGATTAATGGTCTATCTGAAGTGCAGGTAGTAAACATTTTCTCCCATTCTATATGCTCTCTGTTCACATTCTTAATTGTTTCCTTAGCAGTGAAGAAGTTTTTCAGTTTGATACCATCCCATTCATTGATTCTTGATTGTACTTCTTGAGTCTTGTTGAGGAAATCTCTTCCTAAGCCAACACGATACAGGGTTAGGCCTACTTTTTCTTCTAGTAAGCACAGTTATCCCACTCTTCAGTCTATAACCACAGGATTTAAAATCATCATACTCTAGTGACACAGCCACATCAATGTTTATAGCAGCTCAATTTACAATAACCAAGCTATGGAACCAACTTATGTGACCTTCAGTGGATGAAATGAATGGATAGAGAAAATATGGTATATGTACACAATGGAATATTACTCAGCCATAAGGAAGAATAAAATTATGGCATTTGCCAGTAAATTGTTGGAACCAGAGAATATCATACCAAGTGAAATAAGCCACTCCTAAAATAAAACCAAAGGCCAAATGTTCTCTCTGATATGTGGATACTAACTCACAACAAAAGAGGATGGGAAGGGGAAGAATAGAAGTCCATTGGATTAGACAAAGGGAAACAAAGGGAAAGGAGGGAAAGAGAATAGGAAAGACAATAGAATTAATTAGACATAAATTGTATACATGACTGGGGTAACTTGGCATCAATACAACCACAAGAATAGGATCCTAATTAGACTAACTTATCCTTTGTGTATGTATAATATGTCAAAACACGATGCTACTATTATGTAAAACTAAAAAGAACAAATAAATTTAAAAACAAAACTTCAGTTCAACATTAAAGTATTGGTGACTGAAGGTACATAAAGCAAATAAAACATATGAAATATAATTTACCATTTTTAAAGATTTCTGCCTTAAACAACTTTTAAAAAAATAATCTAGCGTTATAACTTACACCAGGCTTTGAATATACATGTCAAAAACCTTAAAACAATATGGTCACATTTCCAGTCTAATTATGAGGAAAACAGCAGACAAATCCATATCAAGAAAAATTATACAAAACAACAAGCTCCTACTCTTAAAAAGTATCAAGGTCATAAAAGATTATTGGAAAAGATTAAGAAAGAATTACGTATAAGATTTGTGACTTCCTAGTAAAGGTAATGGAGCTCAAAAACTTTTTCCCAATACTCAAGATTACTAAAATTTGTGACAATAGATTGGAATAGCACAAACAGAGGCCCACAGACAAAACAAAGCAAATTGTCATTGGCTCCAATGACAATTCTAATGCTTAGCAAGTAAATCACAAAAATAGTTATGAGGGTAGAAAAAGCAAAGACCAAGCAATATGACTGAAGTGAGTACTTTGGTTCTACATAGGTGAGGCAGGCCAGACCTATGCTCAATCAGTCTTATATGGTCTGTCTTATATCTTCCTAAAGTAACTATGTGCTTATATCTAAAGAGAACATTGGAACTTCAGGATTACCTTACCATACAACATTATTGTCCTAAGAAAGCACTGAGGACAGTATTGGGGAGAAAGTTCACTTTTGAAATCTTGAAAAAAATCACTGGACTACGATTGCA